CCTAGATGAGTGAGTTAGTTAAAGAATTAGCTTTAGCGTCTCATATTATATGTACAGCTTACAAATGTTTAATAAAGTATATGTAACTAACCTGACAGAGGGCAAAAAAAAAAAAAAATTAAAAGCATTATTATTATATTATAAATTTATAAATTATATAATTTTAATTTTTAAAATTTCAAAATAATCTTTTAAATTTATCAATTTACTTTAATAAAATTTAATTTTTCTAATGATATTTTATTTTTAAACTTTTTATTATAATTGATTTATCTATCTATATAAGATTTTAACTGTCTGTTCATTTTTTGCAATATGATTGGTCGATGATTGTATCACGTGCCTTATAACTTAACAATTATCTATAAGATTTTAATGGCCATTTTCATGTTGATATCACCTGAACTATCAGTGAATAAAACTTATATTATATGTAATTTGATATACACTAACTTTAATAATAATAAAGGCATAAGAATCACTTTATCATTTGTTTAATTTTATATTAATAATTGCATAAATTTTAATTAGAATTACATTATAATATTAAAGAAGATGTAAATATTGAAGCTCCAAGATCAATAAAATGCTCTACATTTCATATACATATCTAATTCAGTATTACCAAGAGTCTACAATTGATGTATCCACAGTCTTTCATTTTCGTATCATGCCACAAGTTTTTTCATGTTATCCACAATGCATCGGCACCACCTAGAACATCATACGTGATTCATTGTGTCTGCTCACATAGCCTTCATAAACTTTTTATTTTCTTAACTTCGCATATAACATATAATCCTATAAAACAAGAACAAAGAGGCTGAAGCTTCAATATTATTTAAACTATCAATAAAACACTTTGTGCTCTATACTTTGTCTATTCAAAGTGCTGTCTAATTCAGTGTCACCCAAATATACGTATTAATATACTCTTATAGCCTTTATAAACTTTTCATTTCCTTAACTTTATATCATGCTGTATATAGATTTTTAATACTACCACGACACATTGGCGCCACCTAAGACCTAAGAGAATGTCATATATAAACCATTGCGTCTCATGTATACTTACATAGCCTTCATAAACTTTTCATTTCCTTAACTTTGTATATAACATTGTCCTACAAAACAAGAACAAAAGGCTAAAGCTTCAATATCATTTAAACTATCAATAAAATACTTTGCGCTCTATACTTTGCCTGTTTAAAGTACTGTCTAATTTGGCATCACCCAAATCTACATATTAATATACTCTCATAGCCTTTATAAACTTTTCGTTTCCTTAACTTTATATTATGTCGCATATAGATTTTTAATGTTACTATGACGCGTTGACGCCACCTAAGAGAATGTCATATATAAACCATTGCATCTCACATATGCTCACATAGCCTTTATAAACTTTTCATTTCCTTAACTTTATATATAACATCATTCTATAAAACAAGAACAAAAGGCTGAAGCTTCAATATTATTTAATCTATCAATAAAACACTTTGTGCTCTATACTTTATCTATTTAAAGTGCTGTCTAATTCAGCGTCACCCAAATCTACGTATTAATATACTCTCATAGCCTTTATAAACTTTTCATTTTCTTAACTTTATATAATGCCACATATAGTATCACGATGTGTCAGCGCCACCTAAAATAACATTGTATATTTACATATTTGATTAATCATCTCTATACGGACGTAAGGACGTGCCTATCTGCTAGTATTATACAATTATTTTTTAAATAAATATTTTAAATAAATTTTTTTACATATATACTGTATATGACCTTTTTATATTTTGATTAAATTTATTAACAAAAATTTTAATAATAATTTTTTTTTTGTTTTAAACTTATCTTACCATTGATTAATTGATTTTTTATAAGAAAACATTGTTTTTAGAAAATATATTTTTATTGAAATAAATATAAATTTCATTTTGATTTGTTTATTATTATTTCTTTTTTTGAAAGAAATTTAAATTGCATTATTCCATATAATAAAATTGACAATAATAAATAAATTTTTTTTTAGTAATAAGCAATCTAGAATACAGTACATAAATAATTGTTTAAATCCCATATAAAGACATTGTAAATGATTCTTTGTATTGTTTATTTAAAGTAAGTCCATTAATTAAGAAAAAATTATGAAATTAAAAACTTTCAATACTGATTGAAAAAAGGTATTAGAATTCGTATTAAATATAATTCTATATTAGTATATACAGCGTATGAAAACGAAAATCTTCGATAAAAAGTTAGCAATAAACCTAAAATTTCGCGGAAAGATCGAATATTGATAAATAAATAAACACAACCTTTGCTTTACAACCGCAGGCTAACGTATACACTACTTTCCAAATAAGTGAACTCTCCACCAATAGTTCTTATTATATTTGAAACGAGTTTTAGGTGTCGAACAAATCTTCGCCAGTCTTACGTAAGATAGCCTATAATCCACATTTCGATCATACACATTTTATACCATACATCGTATCCGAGAATCCAAGGGCTAACCTAAAAAGAGTCAACTGATGAAAATCAATGGATCATATGACTTTGGTGTCACCAATCAAATTAATTATTAAGGCTCAGATCAAAAGTAGTGACGTTTTTGAATTTGTCGTTATAAAAAGGTAAACAAAAGTTTAGGAATTATTCTTCCAATGTTTGATATTGCCCAAACGTTTTGAAGAAATCAGCAGAACGAGACCGCGGACTTCTGCTTGGAGAAAGTAAACATAAATAAGCAAAAATCGAGTTGGCGAATATTACTCTGTAGAACTTTTTTTTAGGATGATAGAAAAGAAAGGATCGATCATTGGTGAAAACCTCGAGGTGAGGAATTGACATTGATCGCAACAATGAATTTCCAATGTAGAGATAAAGTATTGGGGCTTATGCATGTACACCTCCTTTATTTCCCTTAGAAATCCCTCAATTCAGAGTCCGTGCATATAAAATTCAACGAATCCATGGTAAAATTAAAACCACAAAAAAAGATACATAGTTTTTCCGAAAGAACTTCCAATGACGATCTTTATCTTTATAGCGCAAAATTGAACACGGAACAGCGCACATAAACATAGTTGAATCCATGGTAAAATTTTAGAATTCTAGTTACCCCAGAAGTATGCGGAAACAGGATGCGCTAACAATTCGTTTCACTTAAAACAGTCTGATATACGGGCGGCCGACTGTGATGATGAAACGGCCACTATCACCTCGGAGGATCTCGTTGAAAGTAGGAACAATGATTTTGATGACATCTTTGATGGAGAATTGTCTGATGTCGATACTTATTGTTCGGGATGTGAAGAGTCAGATTACGAAGACTCACCACCATCCGTACCCACCCCTTTAGTCGACGTCAGTCACTTTGTTGGATTCACTAGGCTCAATAATAAAATAATAGAATCTTTGATTTATAAGTTAAAAGAGTACAAGCTCTATGAGACGATGGCGATTCTCATCAAAAGTGATAGATTGAAGATTGAACCAGATGAAATACCAAAAAAGGTCAAGGAATTGATTAAACGTGAGGATGTCGAGGGTTTGAAAAGTGTTAAGGAGGTTTTTCATAAAGAAGCGGCAAACGTACAAAAGCGGACTGTGCATAGATAGGTGATTCGGAAGTTTTCAGGTTTGTGCAAAGCAAATATTGCGTGGGTGTCGCATATTTGCCACTATTCCTGATCTCGACGAACTGAACTGTTATTTGATTTCACAAGTTATTAAAACCGATTTGCCTTTCAGTTTGCCGCTTATATCCGAAACTCGAGATTTATGAAAATAACAAATTTCATGCATTAATTTTAACAACTATGTTCCTCACCTAATATCAATTCTCCTAGCATAATCTGTTTCTTCTTTTTTTTTTTTTCTTTTCTTTTTAATTAGCTGTCCCCGCATCACGCTTCACTTCCCACTTGCGCATATTTCTCTTTTCTTCGGATTTTAATTGTCTATTCAATGGGATTTTCGCTTTCCTTTAATTAAAAGAACAAATGTGTGAATCATGTCGAAAATTAAAAAATCAAACAGGAATTGGATTTTTCAAATGATTATATATAATAGATATAAAAGCATTAATTCTCCTTTCATATATTATTCTTATTATTTTTTTCTTTTTTTCAAACATATTTATTTTCTTTTGAAAAATAAGCGGACAATAAAATTCATTTCAAGTGACTTACGATTTAACAATGGACCAATGAGATGATTAAATATTGTTACGTATAGTTTATGCCAACTGGCAAGGAGAGTGATAAAAAAGGAGGTGGGCAGTTAATGGTTATTATTAAACATTATGAATTTAGATACTGTATATTAGTGTGGACTCAAAGAAAACGATGAAGCAACTATCACGGTGAATGATGGTAGGAATCATGCCAATAACATGTCAGTAGTATTCTTTCCAAGATTAGAATTTGTCAAGATCATATCACCACTCAATGAATAAAGTGATTTGGGTCTGGTTGGTGATGATAATTTTTTATAATTGCTGTTGGATTTTGATTCCTGAAATCCCGGAATGTTTATTGCATAATTATTCTAATACTTTAATATCTGTTTTTAAATACGCATGATAAATTCGTTCCCGTATTACGCGAATTTCTGTTTCTATGAGTACAAATGCTAGATGGGAAAACAATTTCAAATTATTCTCAATATATTGGTCAGTTCCGAAGAGTTTCACTATACCCCTGACTATATTTTTTGAGATTTTGAAGATAACATAACATAAGATTGTCTTGTCTTCCTCGTGCTTTCGTGCCACTTTGATTCTTCTTGTATTGGAATGTAAAATAGGAAACTGACTGTTCTGCAGAAATTCGAGATAATGTACTATAGTTGATGAAACGAGTCTCGGATGGTGAAAATCCGGCGGCAATTTCATTTTAAACCATAAGGGCTGACGCAGACGTATCTTTATACAATGTACAGTATTCTATGTGACTTAGTTTAGAACTCAAGAATTGACACCCGACACCAACTTCTGCAATTGGCAGAGAATACGACGCCCACAAATTTGTGGATGATTTGTAGTCGCGCTCGTGAGGCTGCATGCAAGAAATGTTATTATTCTCCGTGATGCATTAACAAAAGAAATCTTCGCATTTTTTGAAATATTGAGGGTGTTAAAGGCGCGTGAAAATACGGTACGTGTTTCACGTTCGGCACCAAGAATCACGAGTCACGTGATGATCGCTGAATCGCGTGACAAGGTCGCGGCGAATGGTGCCTCTGGCAACATACCGTGTCTTCCATAGACAAAACGAATCGTTCCATCTCTTAATCATCATGTGGATCGCACAGTGCATTTCTTGGTTGGTTTGTAGCACACATTAATTAGTCGCAATCTGAGAATTGAACTATGTCTTCTCCGTAACTCAATGAAAAATAACTTAGGGCACTCCTGATATACAGTATATCATACGCAATTGTCAATGTCCTTCTGTTTACAACTGTGCAACATTACGTACGTATGTACGTATGTACCTACTTACATGCGTTTTCATTATGGAAATAATTTACATAGTTTTAACCGCTGATACGTCATAAACGATGATTGACAACTATAGGCTAATGACAACACCAATCGAAACCATCGAGCCTACTTTTATTGGAGACAAACAGACGCGTGCATAAATTCAATCATTTTTCTTTTATTAGACAATCCTAATAAGGAAAATAAACAATTCTGCATTTTCAAATAATCAAACATCGTATTCTCAAAACATAGATTTCCAACAAAAATAATTGTCCATGACTCCTCTTTCCATCATTGCCAGCGAAGACGACAGGTTATAAATCCGAATAGCGAGACCATACAGAAGATTAGTGTCCACCTATCTCCCTTCTTTCTCCAGTCCCCTTGTCTCTTACGATATTAATAGTGACTCATCTTGTTCAATAAGAATGAGTAAAGTACTTCGCCGGTCGAGCACCGTGCAAAAACCGGATACCGCTTTGACAGCAAGTTCTTACTATTCTGGGACTATCAATACAACTTCAACTCAACCATTACCCACCGGACAACTCTCGAACTCCCCGATGAATGCGATTGAAAACGATAAGAAACCTGCAACTGAGCTATCCAAATTCACCACAGATTCGTCAACGAACAATCACAACAATCCGGATTCTGGACTATCGAAACAAACTTCAAAATCAAAGTTGCGTCGCTCACTCTCGCTTCTCTCCCGCAAAGAAGAGAAACAATCGCAGCCGTTATTAAAGGTTCATCGATATACCATTTACGATGATGAAAAAGGTGAATTCATTGAAATCATAGAAGAGGAATGGGAAGGTGATGGCCCTCCACCGAAGAAATCTTTAAGCATCCAACAGCAAAATACCTTGATGATCGATAAAGATCTACCGAAATTGCCTGAACCGATAGAGAACACTGACGAGAAAAAGCTGTTTGCGAAGTTTAATAAGTGGTTAAAACAACGGTATCCGTTTATACTCGAGTTTTCCAAGGAACACAAGAGAACGCTGTTGATTTCCTCGGTACTATTCCTTCTACTAATCATCGTCATCATTATCCTCGCCCGTGTGCTATAAGTTTCCTTTGGAGACGCATATGAACATTGTTACAGTGCGTATACAAATACCTATAATATACATTGATCTGAATAAAATGCATCTCAATAAATTATCCATGCAGACACATGTACGTATGTACACACGTATTCTGCATTAACGAACAAGATGCACCTTTGCTTATAGAAGTGATGTTTTGTGCACAAGTTTTAGTGCATTTCGCAAAACATTTTCTACGCGGGAAAGGAAAAACCTTAATCCTTCCGGCGGCGGCTTAATAGTTTCGTTAAGGTTTGCAAAATCCATCATTTAAATATAAATAATATCCCCCTCAATTGTTATATACAGTATCTTCAAAAAAAAAAAAAAAAAACAAGAAAAATCTTTTTTTTTACGCATCATAATTTCTTTAAATCTGCTTGTGTAAAAAAAAAAAAGGTGCTTTAATTGGTTCGATTCGAAATAATGGTACTTGTACAAGACTAGCCTATTGAACTTATTGGGCACTTTTTTTTTATAGCTACGATTGCATTAATAAAAATACTTCTTCAAATAATATTTATTATAGAGATAATGTGCCATTACAAATCTATTTTTACCTATAATTAAACTCATTTCACCTTAATTTTAATTAGTTTTAATCCAAAATCAAAAAATAAAATATAAGACAAAACTTTTATTGATGAAATTACTCGCAAAATATTTTGTTTGTTTATTATGGCGTTTTGAGCTGTTATATTGGTATTGTTTTTTATTTTTAATTTTTAATTTTTTTAAAGTAAATGACATATTAAATATAAAATTTTATTAATAAATAACTCGCCCGACTTCTTAATATGAAACAACCTATTTCTATTTTATCTAGTAATGATAAAAATTTTTTTTTTTTTATCGAATGGTATATTTAAAAAATCCATAAAAAATGAATTTTATTACTAGTCTATTATATTATTTAATCTAATCATTTAATTTGAATCTTGATGTATTAATATAATATGAAGATAAAAAAATAAAAAAATTGTTTAAATTGTACATATATTTTGTAATACCTATAGTCAAACTATAATATTAATATAAATATATATACAGTATATACAGTATATATATATTTTAATTCACAATCATATCACAATGACAAACAGATGATGAAGCTTTGAATACTAGGTAACATCAAAGGCAAACAACAAAATGGGAAACAAGAAGTCAAAGATCGACTATAAAACAAGATTTAGAGGCAACCTAACTAAGCAAAATATTAGAGAAGCTTAGCAAATAACTAGACAAACTAGAGAAAGGTCCACTCAAAAGGAGAGCCAACCACTTCTAAAAGGATGCACTAGTCCAATCACAGAAAAAGAAGGAATATCAGTCTACTATTTTCAAGTCAAAAATGCAAAACAAAGACAAAGCATAACAAATAAAGAAGAACAATAATAGATAATAGCAAAGTGAACAAGATCTTGATATTTTTTTGCAAATAAAAAAAGATAAATTTCTAGAGACAAACAGAGAGAATCAACAAATAGAAAAAACAAAAGAGGAAAATATATAGAAAAAGGTAATTAGAATAGGGACACACAATATTAAAGATATTATTGATAGTACAAACTAGTATAGTTTTATAAAAGAAATGCAAAAACAAGGCATTGAAATAATAGAGCTATATAAAAACAAAACTAATTAATGCAAAGGCAAAATGAGCCTTCCAGAAGCAAACAACCTTCAAGTATTTTCATGGTACTAAAAAAACACTCTATATAATGCAAGAGTTAATCTCTTGATAAAAAAAGATCTAAAAAGAAAAGTAGCTTTAATAGAAGAGACAGAAGAATACATAATAGTAGTTAATATGCTTATAAAATGGAACAAGATATATATTATCCAGATTTATATTTTCTTAGATAAATGACGAAGCATAAAGATGCAGAAGAAAGTACAAAGCTTCATTAAAGAAAAAAACAGACAAGGCTTTCATATAATAGTAATAGGAGACTTTAATGCTGCATATAACCCTATAAAGACAGGGCATCAATATTTAGAGTTAAATTTAAACTATTTTAGTGTTCAGAAATACTGCTTTCAACTTTTTAGATGAATAGTTCTTCTTAGACATACAGACTATATGAAAAGAAAAAGATAAAACTCCAACAAGATAAGATGCTATTAGCAGTAGTCGGATTGATTATATATAGAAATCTCAAAGCCTTACAAACTATCCAATACTTAGATTCGACAACCAAAGTATGAGGAAACAATAGGAAGTGATTATACTATACTAGTATTAACAATGCATAATACCAATATCTTTATAAGAGATATCAAAAGTAGACCTTTCACAAAGAGTAAACAAAGAATTGATATAAAGGGATCAACATCTGAGCAATATAAGGTATTTATTAAAAGCCTGAATCACAAACTCAGAATGATAATGGATTCATTGTTTAAAGAAAAATCTGAAAATGGTAAAAGAGCAGTTCAAGCAAATAAGATCTGAAAAACATTTGAAGAACAAATATATAAGGCAATATATAACAAGCCTATAATCAAGAAATTATCTGCTTCTCAAGAAAAACATCATAGACATGGACCAGAATTCATCAAGTATCAGAAGGCCCTTCAACTATTCGCACTCTTTAAGAAGGTAGAAAGTACATATAATTCAATCAAATTGCAAGTCTTAGTATGGCAATTAAGAAATACAATACTACCTTCAGTCCTAATTATCAGATCGAGAACTATTGCATCCAATATAGCATTTCTCAAATTCTATGAAAATTATTAAAAAAAGATATATAGGATGCAATAGAAGACTTAAACTTACTTGTCAGAATATAGAGACAAAAAAGATAAGGGATACTATCAAAAGAGCTTTGGAATAGAAATATGATGACTTACAGTAAGTAGCAATTAAAGGAGAATAGTAAACTCCTTGACTGATAGAGAGTGAATCAAAATAACACTGGATAGAATTAAGGTTAAAGATGGAGAAAAGGAATATATAATTATTAAGAAGGGAGAAATCAAAAGAGAAATAAGGAGATATTATCATAAGGCTTTCAAAAAATGAAACACCAATTTTGATAGTCTTATAAAAAATTGGAAAGAAAAATACAATCCTAAAGGCTATATTAATAAAAGATGGTATAAAGATCTACTGGAATCAATTTCTCAAGAAGAACTACATAAAATGTTTTACACTAGTCAAAATTATGTCATTCGACAGCTGAATTATTACTGAATTTGATTAAAATTTATAATAAAAATATTGCCGAATTCTTTTCAATTGCTGCTACTCGACATATTACATTTTGGTAATAAAGTGGCAATCAAAAATTTGGCAATCAAAAATTTGACAATTAAAAATTCAGCAATCAAAAATTCAACAATCAAAAAATTTGGCAATCAAAAATTTATTAATTAAAAGTTTAACAAAAAATTCATTAACAATTCATCAAAAATTCAATAACTATTCAGCAAAAATTCATTAAAAGTTCATCACAAAATTATTTATTAAAAATTTGACATTAATTTATTAATAATTCGTCAAAAATTCATCAACTATTCATTAAAAATTTGGCAACTATTATTTAACAAAAATTTATAAAACTTGCAAAAAAAATCATTTATATTTATAAATTATTTGGTATTATTTATTTATATTTTTTATTTTTTTTTTAATCGCAAATGAGCATTAAATGTGAATTTTTATTAGAAAATTAATTCTTAAACATGATATTAATAGTCTTTCTACTTGATTGAGTAAGTTAATTCACCACTTTCAGTTCTCAAGAAACCATCAATCAGCATAGAAGATACAACACGCAGCAGAAAAGAAATGCATAGGTAGTTATTAGAAACAAAAGAGATCTGGGATATAAAAAGCAAGTTGGCAAAGGTACAGTTGGTAAAGATCAAATCAAGAACAATTCAGAGACACACAGAATGCAGGTATAAGGATTTAGAAGAATCCCAAGAAATAGTATCCTAGATAGACAGGCTAGATTTATAGACACCAGAAGATTAGTAGAATATAACAGAAGAGGATGAGATCAAGATTATAACTGAGCCAACAAAAATCTAAGACAAAATCAGGAACCACTTTCAATAATGGACGAGAAAAATACAAGTCCTAAACATAGAAGAATTCCCACATTGGAAGGAACAGTACAACCCAAAACAAGACATCCAAGTAGATTGGTACACAGAAATAACAAATCCTATCAAAATGGTAGAAATTAAAAATGCAATCCATAAGAAAAAGACAGCAAATACATTAGGACCCTCCGGAATACCATACAGTGTATTTAAAATCTGGGAGAAAAAGGATTGCAAGTCCTGGAATCCCTCTTTACCCAGATTCTAACAACAGGAGAGATCCCAAGTAACTGGAGGAAGGGGAACATATACCCTATCCCAAAATCCAAGGATTGGTTAGAAGACATAAACATCACATGTCCTATCACCTTGCTAGAAACAGCTAGAAAAATTTTTATGGGAATCCTTATAACAAGAATAGCAGAGATATGTACAAAATGGAAAATATTATGTGAAAACAACTGGGCTGGACTGCCAGGAGGTAGCACACAAGAACCAATTCACATTCTGAACAATGCATGGAGGAGGCCAGAGAATTCAAAAAGGAGGCAAGGATATTCAGCCAAGATATCAGCAAAGCATATGACTCCATCAGCAAACAGATAATGATTCGAGCCCTTAGAAGGATATGCCTTCCAGAACACATAATCAAGATCATAGACAACATACTAGAAGATAGAAGTAACAGGAAGATAACAGTGCATGGCCTCATAGAAGAATACCGTATCTATAATGGAATCGATCAAAGAGACACCATATCACCGCTGCTATGGAGAATCTTTTATGACCCATTACTACAGAAAATAGAGGACAAGTATAAAGGATATACAATGGAAATGGAAGTCATCCTAGATCTAATACCACCAAGTACAAGAAGGATAGGCATCAAGATAAAAAAGATGGCTAAGATTATAGCAACAACATAT